AAAAAAAAAGGGGATGGCCTAATGAATAATTAAACTTAACTTTAAAGTCAACATAGGCGAGCTCGAATGCGAAATATAAAGGGGCCTGCAATGAGAGACCTCGATTTTGAAAAAAAAAAAAAAATTCGAACCTCAGCGAACAGTTAGAGATCATCAAAGATCGTGAAATGACAGACATGTGCGTAGTCATCTCAATTTTAAAGAAAGAAAACATCAACCTATATCAAACGGGCTCAATCATGTAAGTGGACCTAATTTAATCTTTGAAGCAATTATTATATTGCACGCTTCGCCCATATGCCGATATTGATCGCTATACCTACCCACCCAAAAGGAAAGGAAATCACTTTCCAAGACTTGGCGCTCAAACGTCTCCCGCGCCCATTCGTGAAAGCCGGGTCCGAGATAGGCTTTTTATCCTAATAATTTAAGAGACCTGCATTTGGATTGCCCTTACGATTGCCTTAAAAAAGGAACGTATCCTTAACGGGTTTGTTCACGTTTTGTAACCGGGTACTCTATGCTTTGCAGGAATGACACCCTGAACGTTGTAATCTGAAAACTGAAAAACGCAAACTAAACGCATTTTTCCCGTGGGATGTTCCGGGAGGTCTCGCATCCGCTGGACAGAATACACCAGGTATTCATTTAAGCTCCCTTTTGTTTTATGAGCTGCTTTCGTGGGCATACGAGCGTGGAAATAATATGGAATCCATTCTTCAGGGTTTTCAGCGAAACTGTGTTGCTTTTAACGTGTGCATATTCGCGGGTGTTCTCCTACTTTAATCTAAGGATAACATACCCTCGATGTGACCCGTTACTATCTCCCGTCTCGTCCCGATCCTGCCCGCATCCCTCTCTGTATTGAACCCCACAACAAATGTGTGCCGTTCAACGTTGATTTTCCTTTTTGATCCTTATCTTCTTGTCTTTGAAAACTATATAGTTTCCGTCCGCTTTTCAGTCTCAGTTCGCGAAGAGTCGCGTGTATCAAATTGCAACGATTTTTTTTTTCAAATAAAGCCTGGATAAAGCAAATGTACCGTTTATTTCCGCAATTGTGAAGTAGAGAACGGGGGCAACATAAATCTGCGTCTGGACCCGTCCGGAAGAAGTTACTTGATTGGTCGCTATTTTAAGGCGTGACGTCTCATTCATTCATTGCATTCTCGTCTGGAAATACTCTGGTCGAATATCCAAAACATATAAAATGTATCCGTTCTACACCAACACAGTGCTCATATAGCCGTCGTGGGCGGATTAGCTGAGCAGCTTTAAACGTTTGGACATTATAACGTCTATGAGATCTTGACATTTCTGTGTTTTGTAGAAGATCTCGGATAAGCGTTATAGAACAATCTCATGTGAATTAACGCTGGCTTGAGCGTGACATCTGTTAAAATATTTTTGATTGTCTGTAAATACGAGCTGCTGGCTAAGAGAATTTGAAGTGGTTGGAATTATTTTTAGCCGGAGTGGAGGAAGAAACAGGCCAAAGACCTCAGAGCAAATCCGTTTTCGTGCGATCAGTGAAAGAAATATGGCGGCTCAAGGAGCAAGGTCTTCTGATGGTGATTGTCATGAAAGTGTTCTTGACGACGTTTTCGAACGTTATGGACCGATCGATGTAGAAGCTTTTATTGACTTGCACTTTAAACATGCTTTAAAGGGTGAGGAAGAAATGTTTCCTTCTTATCCTGACGGAACACAGCTTATCGGAAGCAAAGTGGAAGTTAAAAATGTGGCGAATGGTTCCTTGGCCACGTTAGAGAGCTTCACGTACTTTGGAACAGATACACAAATAAACTTAGATCACACAATTTCATTGGCGTCGCCACAGGAGGAACTGGAGAGCGATGCCGTGTGTCCTTGCTGTCGACGTGTTTTGGAAAAGGATGGTTTAGACGATTGCCGTACATTTTATGGCGATAACAAGGTCAATAGGGAAACAACAACATCATTGACATTACAGGAGAAGACGAGCGGATGTGATGGCGGTATTGAAATGAGAGGTGTGTATTATAATGTTATTTGTTTTTGTTCGTGCCTAATAGCACGTCTCAATATTACATAAAGGGTATAATTTTTGCACGGTGGTCATGGTTGTTGTGAACTTAGGTGACACTCGTCGACTTGTGTTTTAAAGCGGCCTCCTTCTATCGCTCGATCGGGAAATGTTAACACTGGTCGATAGAGTTAGACGGACCATTAAGATTTCTTCCGACGTCTTTGAAAGCTTAGGTTAATTAATGAATCCAGTCGTCTTAATACAGATTAATCTTTGGTCTTAATTTGGAACTGCTAAGCGCTAAACCATTTGGGTAATAGCTTAAATCTTAATGTTTACGCAGCCATATTGACAGTGAGTTGATACAGGTTATTTTGAGGGTACGGGCCAACGATTGTTGTTCGTAAGCTTACATATTGGTTACAATAAATATTCAACAACACTTCAGGCTTTTTTTATGGGTCGTTATGGTTTTGTGGGATAATAAATTGTTATCCAGTTAACTTGATTAGTTTAACTGGGTGTGTTTGAGGTGTTTTCAAATAAGATATAGGGAAAGCGAGGCAGGAAGTGCAATTTTGCCTGTCACTTTTTTACGCACACCCATTGGTTAATATTCATTGCCAGTAGCAACAGAGGTGCATTGATGACGTCAATGTGATTTGCTGATGACATAATATCACGGAACTCAAAGAATAGACCAAGTGACCGCGATGCTAGCAGGATAGTTTTAATAAAATTTATTGCGGCATAGGCAATTGTTGCCTTTAATTTAATTTCAACTCTATATATCATTTTAAAGAAACTTAAAAGCTCATGATTGTAAATGAGCATGAAATAGGAACTGCTAGTTGTCTTTTATCTTTTCTGTTATTTTCATTTTTTTCTTCCTTTTCTTTCTTCCTTGAAAGTTATTTTGTTGTTTTCATTCATGATTCCTCTCAGGTGGGCAACAGTTGAAGAGAAATTGACAAATTGAAAATAGGACTTGTTTATCTCTCTTATAGAAGAAACTATGGATCCAAGAAAGTTTGTAGTCACAGAATTGCAGCTCTCTGACATAAGTGATGATGTCGGAACTTGCTGGCGGGAATTAGGTCCAAAGCTTAGCATTGCAGCGTCAAAGATTCGCAACCTAGATGAGGAATACAGCCACAATCGCGACAAAGCCAATGCACTTCTGATCATATGGAAGGAGCAAGTGGGGAGTGGTGCGCTAGCAGGACTTCTTGCTGATGCTTTAGAGAGCATTGGAAGAAAAAGTATTGCTGAAAAACTACTTGGTGAGTGGGTGTCCTATGTGAGATAAAAGGGTGCTCTGTATGCAATGCTGCTGAGATGTTTTACCATAAAAGTAGGCCAGGAATATTCATGTATAAGGTTATTTCCCTGATCCTTGATTCTAAATTATTTTTAGAGTACAAGAGTGATACATTTCATCCCGGTTTCATGTAGTATTCATTGTGCATTTACCACTCAGCCATGTCAATTACACCATAGCGTAAGACTGGGTGTGTTTAAAACATGAAATGGCCAAATGTCACTATGAGTAAGAGTTACTGTGAGATACAGGTGTCTGTAGGGGTTAACCCTTACAATTGTTGAGAGCTGATATCTACAAGCCTGCAAATAACAGTCAGTCATCGGACAATTGTCTGGTAAATTTGAGGTTTTGACAGGTAAAAGCTTAGTCTGGTCAGACACTCTGACCGGGCATTTCTGCTAAACGAAAAATAATGTAATTGGAAATTTGTGGCCGAATATGGAACAAGTTATTTTATTATACTGCCACACAATACTAYGCAAAAAGGCTTTGTTATCAGTTTCGTTTTTATTCCATTTCTGAGAAATAATTTTATCATGCCCAATGCGCTGTCTCAAATGTCATGTCGAATCATAAACACGCCATATCAGCGCCACCATTCAAGCTATGTGTTAATTTATGCATTTTGCGGTGGTGTCTTGAAAGATTGAGAAGCCCCATTTAGTCTGAATTACGTTCGTTTGAAAAACTACTTGAATCTGAGGTCTTATATCTTGTTACTCGTTGTTTGTTATCTGCAAGTGTTGTGGTTTTTGGTCGTAATTTGACTCGACTAAAATATTAAATATTATGCAAATTGGATACATGGCCCAAATTCTCACGTTTCATTTATCTGAATGCAATCGCTTTCAAAAACTTTAAAACCTCTAGAATGAAACCAAATGTATTACCAGTCCATATGATCAAAAATCAGTTTTATAGCTCTATATAGTTTTTTCTTACGTCTGTGGTACAATTTATTTTGAATTAGTTTCCGTGCCACAGACATTTTCTTGTGAAAAGTGTGAATGTACAAATTAGTCATGCTTTGTAGTCACGGCCACTTCCAATTTGAATTTCATCTAACTACGCAAATTTATTTATTCAATTGACCCCAAAAATTGTCGAGGGAAACTTGCTTTCAGAAAAAGTCGAAGAATTCATTTCAGCCAATTTTCAAGTCTCTGAATATTACTGTGAGTGAGTTTTGGTCAGTTTTAACACTGACAAGCTGTCCACGCGGGAAACTTGATCAAGTGAGTGAAGGCAAACTAGGGGTACAAATGTTTGTAAATTTGTCAATTTTCAAGGGGTAAAATAATACCTGACTTACTGTAAAGGTCTCCTTTCTGGTGCTAGTATCAATTTTACACTCAGTTGACTTTACTTTTAAGCCATTTGAATTTGCAACCAACATTTTAGCGAAGGGTCTGAAATACCGAAATGTCTCAAATGTCTCTTATTTTAAGTTTCTAACGGCAAAAAAGAATTTGTCCGATCAGACTGGCTTTTTGTCAGGTCAAAACTTGTCCTTGGCCTAACAAATTACCTGCTTATACATGTAGACAAAAATTATTTGCAGGCTTGTACAGTGTATCTAGTGTAACTAGTGTAACCTGAGCACTGTTTAGCTAACAAGAGTGCTATTTAGGCTAACTGTAGTACCACATTGTCATTTCACCATTTTGTGTTCTTGCTATAATTATGCCCTATGAGAACAATTTCAGCCTGTTGCTGAGAATCAGGGTTTCCTATAATGTAGATTTTTCCTGTAATTTTCCATGGTACAAATCTGTTAAATTGCAGTGCTTGTGATGTATGGTTTGTGTTACATATTCTGAACTTTCAATGTTGTTTAATATATTTCTTTCCTAGGAGTAAGTGATGTCAAGTTGCCAGCATGCACAACAGTTTCTGAGGGTCACAAAATCAGTTTAACAGTCAAATGTGATTTGGATGCAGAGTTAGACAACAAGGTTAACAGTTCTATCAATAGTAATGTTTAAATGTTTTTAATCTGGTAAATGCTTAAACTGATAGTTAGCTCAGTTGGCCTGTGTTAGTCACTTGATCTTGTCAATCATTAGAATGTCATAGCTGCTCTTGCCTAGCTGAAACATTTGGGCTGGAGCTGTTAACTGAAGCTCAAGACGTGTAAATGATAGTACACTTCAGATTTGCGATTTTCAAGGGAAAACTTGTGGCGATGGCACTTTTATTTTGTTTAAACACATCTTGGGACTGGGCCTGGGAACTATTTGAAACGTCTTCAGAAGTCACAGAATGCCCTTGACGTTTTCAGATATTTTTAGCTGGTCTTTAAAATCCTGGCCCTTCCAGGACAAAAATCTAATGCCTGTAACTCATAAAAAGTTGGTGATATTCTATGCAGTTGGTGCTAACTCTTACAATTGGAAGAAGGATAGTATGAATGTATTTTAAAGAATGCAATAAGATGATTTTGGTCCAGAATGTATAATACAACTCCCCTCCCTCCCCTGTTTCAAGAATCTGAGAACTCTTTCATGCATGGAAGGGTTACGCACACGCTACACGATAAAGGGAAAGATAGATTTTTAACTATTGTAGATTTGTGCTATTTTTGTTGATAATAACACATTTTCATGCTCTTTGTCAATCTTTACAGCTTATGTTGTGTGAAGATGATTATGGGAACAAATACATGTTGAAAGCTGTTAGCAATAATGTTGGAAGTTGGAATTCAGAAGAGGTACTCTGACTGTTAGCACTTCCCTTCTCTCTCTCCTTATACTTACAGTGTACCACCCAGACGATAAATTGAATAGCCTTTGAACGCGAGGGCTTAAACCCGGACTGCTCCATCAGCCGGGAGTCCAGTGCACTAACCATGAGGTCATCTCATGCCTCCTACTCTGATATAACACAAAGCACTATAAAATTGATGGATAAAGCCTTGGCTTTAAAAATTAACTACATGTAATGATGATCTCACTTTTTACCCTAAATGAAAGGTACTAAATAATGTTTACTCACTGTATCATTCATTGGCAATCTTGATAATATTAAAATTTATGATATAGATAGGACCCTGCCCACACTCTGATTGGTCAAAACCCATGTTTTATCAGAGTTTAAAAAATAACTGAGATACTATGCATGCTCTGATTGGTCAACAGAGTTGCTAAACCTATGTTCTATTGTACTGGTAAACTACGGTTCCTGATCTATGGCAGCTCTACACAGGAACTAGAGAACTTGGAACTCTAGCGATAACAAATGTAATATAAAACAGTTTTGCCTTTCACTGGCTGAGATATCAATAACACAAATATCTTTTCATTCAACATAGAAATTTGTAAGGAAAAAAAGGACCTGAGGTTGGTTGCCATATAAAGCTTTATCTGTTTTTTCCATGGCAAAAATTTTACGCTGACTCTGGTTATGCTTGAGAATTAAAATTAAGGATGTTTTAAATCCTTTTTTCTGGTGCTTTCCATGGTCTGTGGAGGACGGAGTCAGCTGGGCTTAACTGATCAATTTGGGTTGTCAAAAAAGCAGGGAAAATATTTCTTTCTATCAGAAATTTTGAGTCAAAATTCAATACATGGATGCATAACACGATAAATGAATTTGGTTTCCATAAGCTCAGCTTTCAAACAATAGTTTTCATATAGCTAAATACAGAGAAACACGGATTTCATAGCCTTCAGCATACATGTAAGTAAATAAATTCTGAATAACTTTCGGACGCAGTGTTTCTGTAATTATAACCTTTATGCCATTCACAAAACTTTGGAAAGTTATCGTTAGACACTGCGTTGAATCACTTTGCCAAGCGCATGATCTTTGGACTACTTGCAAACTTTTCGTACAGCCTTTTACTTTCGTGATGACCGATTCCACCTACGAATCGCTGCATTTCCCCATCAGAATATTTGTGAGTTAATTAATATTCTTTTTGCCTTTCATCGATAACCTTTTCCTTTCCTTTCTTAAAACTTTCTTGGTGTGAAATGTTTTCGTTGCTTTGCTCTGTGGATTTCGTGTCAGGTGTGGAGTCTGTGCTTTCATTCTTTCAGTCGCCATGATTGGTTTGTCGCATCATCTCATGAATTTGATGAGAATAAGACACTTGATCACGAAAGTACAATAAATTTTCTTCTCATTGACAGGCTTTTTCTGTAGTTATTTCATAAAAGCGATAGACCACCCTTTCTGTGGGTTTACCGGCGCAGTAAACCACTTGGGATGTTGGGAGAACACTCGAAATGCCGGTAAATCACTTGCCTAACGGCTCGTGATTTACAAGCTTTTCTCATGTTCTCCCAACATCCCGTGTGGTTTATTGCGCCAGTAAACCCATAGAGAGAGTGGCCTATTGCTTAAATAAATCGTAGAAAAAGCATGTTTTATTGTTTTTGGCCCCATTTTCTCCAGTCAATATCTTTGTTAGAGATGGTGAAAAACATTTTCTTTGGCACAGAAGAAATTTGTGATTGAGTTCTCTGCGAAGCAGCAGAAAGTTTTGAAGACGAGTCATGCAGCACCTTAGTGGTATTAAATTGCATCAGTTTGTCGATCTGTGTGCTTTGTTGTTTCTGCTCGGCATGTAAAATCTATTTCATAAAGCAAATGAAGAAGCCTAAGCCATGTATTAGACTGTGATAAAACACTCCGGACATTTAAGAACACTCGAGAAATGTAGAAAATACTTGCCTACGGCTCGTGTTTTCTACATTTTCCTCGTGTTCTCAAATGCCCGTCATGTTTTATCACAGTGTAATACATGGCTTAGGCTTCTTTATTTGTTAATTAAATATAACTAGTTGCCAAATTTATCCATTTGCTATGTTTGTGTTTGCCAGATCCAGAAGAACAAGAGATTTTTAGAGGCTGTTGCTGTAGCTGCACAGGACATGGGGAAAACAGCAGAACAGAGACGGCAGGAAAGCTTAAAACGCATTTCTTCAGAGGTTCAAGAACTGAGGCAGAAACTGAAGAGAGTGAAGCTGGACTGTTGTGATGCTGATCTTGACAAGAACGATGGAGTTAAATCTTGTTCTCAAGGTGATGTGCAATCCATAAAAGAGGCAGTGGATTATGAACATGTTAACTCAGTCTCTGAACATTCATCACAAGGTGAAAGTGTGCAGCAATTACTTAAATCATGTGAGGATCAACGTAGGTTTTGTGAGGGGATATATGGAGCTCTCATCAAGCTGGTTGGTGAGGTTGGTCAGCCTAGGGAGGACAATGCCAAGTGTATTCGGCAACTTTGTGACTTTATAAAAGAACTGCAGGACCAGGAAAAGACCTTTTTCTCCAAAATTGAGCAAGTCCGCAGTCAGAGTCAACATTTGGATGAGCTGCAAGTTGCTCAGGTGGAGGAGTTAGACAAATGGAAGAGAGCACAAAAGCAACAGGTAGAGGGAGTCGAAAAGCTCTTGTTGCTCTTGCTTAATCAAGGGACGATGGAAAAAAGACAGGTGAGTTTTGCTAAGGCATTAGCAGGCTCTTCCCCCTGAAATATGCTCTTGAAATTCAGTTCCAAAAAGCAGATTTTGAACTCTATTCAAGGGAAAATTGTGACCATCAATATCAGTGCCTTAACACATGCATACATGTATGGTATAATGAATTACATAGTTACATTCCAAGTGATTTTAATTGTCCAGTGTTATTTCATGACACANAAAAGAAGCAAAGAATCCAAGAAATTTTGTATGTCAGAATACAGGCCATGTCAGACAAGTTCTTGCTAATCTCCAATGATGTCCAACTGAGGAGATGCAAGAGTTTGGAGGCATTCCAGGTGATTTAATGACTAATTAGTAATTCATTACTCGGTTATGATTACAAGTTTGATTTAGTTGTTAATAACAAGTACATACACCTATACTGTAGGCTATTTTAGCTAGACATCATGACTTATGTAGATTTTTTGTAGTGCATTAAACATGAATCGTGTTTGTTCAATAAAAGAACCAGCGTTCACTTGTTAGTCATTAGTGAGAGATCAGAATATGGATCAAGTGTACACATACATGTATAGGGGTGGCAAATGGTCCCTCAAAAACCATGCATGTCACAACATTTTCATCAAATTTCGTGGGTCTGACAGTCTCCTGTTTTTAACAGTTATGTGCGTCTCGCAGTCTTGAGTTTTCCACACAGCTGTCTCGAAGACTTGATTTTTTTGCAAGGCTAAGAAAGTCTTGAAGTCACACTTTAACAGTTGTTTTGTTTTTATAAAATAGTTAATGATTAATAATTAATAATTAATAATTAGAGTCTGAATGTCTTAAGCTTTGAATTCTTGGTCTCACAGTTCAAAAAGTCAAAATGTCTCAGGCTCCCAAAGAAAAACACTAGACTCATCTTCTTGCAAAGTCTGGTATTTACCATTTGCCACCCCTATGTATTGTACATGTAGTGCTGTATATTAATTGTTTAACCTATAGGGTAAATCAGATTAAATTTTTGATAAATGGATTGTGCAAATTGTCAGCATAACTCCACCTTGGCGCACTTTTTTCTAAGAGTTTATTATTTTTTTTTAATCTGGAGAGATTCCCATGTTCCCTCCCATGTGTATATTAGTCAGAGTATTTTGCTCCAGTTATAGGGTACAGATCCCGGGTGTTTTTTTTTTGTCTTTTTTTTAAATTGACATTGGTAGTGGAAACCAAAAATGTACTTTTAAGCAAGCATGTATTCTATACATGTCTGTACTGTAATCTTAAAGTTCAGATGATCAATGTTATTGGGGTTTAAGGCAGAATATTATCATTCCAAGAAGAATTTTTATTGTTTTGCAATTGCCATACATGTATTCCTGTTGATGTTCATTTCTCTTTTTTCTGTGATCAATATTTAATATTCCCAGAACACAAAATTGAAATATTCAATATTCTGCCATAGATTCTGCTAAAACCCACGAAACATTCATTTTTTTGGAGGTTATGTGACAATTGTTTTCATTTTGACTTTTTTGTTACTTCGTGTTAATGTATCAGACGATAAGGAAACACTTACACAAATGTACATCTCCTAGGAAATGGTACTGATTAAGTTAGAGGGTGTAGGAAGGGTTTTCTTCCATTATATGCTAACATAGATAATATTTAGATTAATTTCCTAATAGTGAGTGTTTCCGGAAAATTGGCTTTTACAAGTTAATTGTTTCACGTGAACTATACCATAATATAACAGGGGAGTGGTTAAATTATTCAGTATTGGTGCTGATTTGGTCAAATTTTGTTTGAAACAGTTATCCTAGATGGAAGCATACTTTGTTTGAAATACATGTAGACAGTCGTTGAACACATTATTTGTTCAGTGTGCATAGTTGCTAGGACGTAAACATATGTGTATTGTGTTTGAAAGAGTAGTTATTAACGACAAACAAGAAATTGTTTGAAAACTGTACTTTTCATTAATTAGGATGTGGTCATAGTTTATTTTAAATAGTTTT